ATTAGTACTGGGTGTCACAGTCGTAAAGCCGCTCATGCATAACATTTACCAGCTTGGTGGCCCGGTACGGCCCCGGGGTAATGATGCGGCTCTCCATCTCCCGGTCTATGTGTGTCCCCCGGGCCGCCCGTGGCTCTTTAACCCGCTCAGAACACGTGACCCTCCGAACCCTCCGCTCAACCGTCCACCAAGAGTTTGAAAAGCGTGCCCAGAGAGAGCTGGGCGGCGATTGGCTGAGTAAGATGCACACGTGAGACTAGCCGCCAATCGGCGTTCAGAGACGCCCTGGGAACTGTGTGCTGGAGCTAGGCGGGGTGACGGGCGGAGGATGGAGGAAGGGGGCGTGACTGTGAGATGTACCCTGATCTGACCATGTGCTGCTGTCATTCTTCTCCTCTCTGCAGCTGGAAGTAGAGATGGGCTCCTCAAGGGAGCGCTCACTGAACAGTTCCGGATCTTTTAAATAGCTCATGGTTCACTAAACGGCTCTTTTTACTATAGGAGAGGAAATGAGACAGGGCTGTATTTTGAGGGAGGGAATGGTAATTATTTTAAAAGTAACGTGCGTAGATGCTGAGGTCGGCAAATTCGACTACGTCAGCGTTCTCGACAGAACACCGGTATCTGCGTTTAGTATCGGGGCATTTTCACAAGTATGAGTACTTGCTCAGTATTGGCGCTGGTGTATCCCTACTTAAAAATATAATGCATTGCTGGGACTTGTAGTCCTACATAGTTGGAGCTATTCTGCATTACACGCTCTTCTCTGCTGCTTTGCCTCTACTACATTTAATCCACACACTCCGCACAGAGCACAACAGACCAGAAGAACCGGCGCTCATTTTTACTGAGCCATGGCTAGTTCGTTCTTCTGAGGGAGCCGCTCAATAGAGCCGGATCGCTCATGAGCTACCCATCTCTAGCTGGAAGTCATAGACATTTCCTGTCTCCATCTCCAGCCTCCCACACCCTGAATGCTCCCTATACGGCTCAATAATTGCACATTTAGCTTTCCCGTGTTGTTTGTCTCCTAGTCTTCTTGAGTCTCAAATGATCTCTTACAATGGTGGTCATTGTAGTGCCCTCTTACATCAGTGGTAATTGTAGTGCCCTCTTACACCAGTGGTCATTGTAGTGCCCTCTTACACCAGTGGTCATTGTAGTGCCCTCTTACACCAGTGGTCATTGTAGTGCCCTCTTACACCAGTGGTCATTGTAGTGCCCTCTTACACCAGTGGTCATTGTAGTGCCCTCTTACACCAGTGGTCATTGTAGTACCCTCTTACACCAGTGGTCATTGTGGTGCCCTCTTACACCAGTGGTCATTGTAGTGCCCTCTTACACCAGTGGTCATTGTAGTACCCTCTTATACTGGTGGTCATTGTAGTGTCCTCTTACACCAGTGAAAGAAACAGGTCACCAGCACTCGTTTAGAATAAAGGTCACAATTTTACTGCCTTGAAGAAAGGACCCTGTGCGGCCCCGAAACGTCGGCTCTGTTGATTGTAGTGACACACGTGTCCATTAAAAAAGGACATATTTATTCTAAACGAGTGCTGGTGACCTGTTTCTTTTATTTCGTATTTTGCACGGTGCCATCTGTGATAGTCATTGCGAGCACCATCGTTCTTATTTGGCCAGGACTGCTGTAAGGTGTGCGGAGAGGACCCCCACCACCTGAAAACTCTTACACCAGTGGTGGACGGAGCTGCAGTGTGGAACAGGTGTGCGGGGGTATAGTGGTGGAATAGGTGTCAGTGTGGAACAGCTGTGTGGAGAGGCAGTGGTGGAATAGGTGTATGGGGGTGCAGTGTAGCCCCGAAACGTCGGCTCTGTTGATTGTAGTGACACACGTGTCCATTAAAAAAGGACATATTTATTCTAAACGAGTGCTGGTGACCTGTTTCTTTTATTTCGTATTTTGCACGGTGCCATCTGTGATAGTCATTGCGAGCACCATCGTTCTTATTTGGCCAGGACTGCTGTAAGGTGTGCGGAGAGGACCCCCACCACCTGAAAACTCTTACACCAGTGGTCATTGTAGTGCCCTCTTACACCAGTGGTCATTGTAGTGCCCTCTTACACCAGTGGTCATTGTGGTACCCTCTTACCATGGTGGTCATTGTGGTACCCTCTTACCATGGTGGTCATTGTAGTGCCCTCTTACACTGGTGATCATTGTAGTGCCCTCTTACACTGGTGATCATTGTAGTGCCCTCTTACACTGGTGATCATTGTAGTGCCCTCTTACACCAGTGGTCATTGTGGTACCCTCTTACACCAGTGGTCACTGTAGTGCCCTCTTACACCAGTGGTCATTGTGGTTCCCTCTTACACCAGTGGTCATTGTAGTGCCCTCTTACACCAGTGGTCATTGTAGTACCCTCTTATACTGGTGGTCATTGTGGTGCCCTCTTACACCAGTGGTCATTGTAGTGCCCTCTTACACCAGTGGTCATTGTAGTACCCTCTTATACTGGTGGTCATTGTAGTGCCCTCTTACACCAGTGGTCATTGTAGTGCCCTCTTACACCAGTGGTCATTGTGGTACCCTCTTA